GGATTTTGCCATGTTGCCCAGGCTGCTCTTCAATTCCTGACCTCAAACGATCTTCCCACTTCAGCTTCCCAAAGTGTTGGGATTACAGGTGCGAGCCACCGAGCCTGGCCATTGAATTCATTTCTATTGTGCTCTCCTGTAATGCTCATGCATCTGGTCCATGGACCACTCTTTGAGTAGTACCTAACTAGCTGGCTCCTTAGCTTATGCCTTTACCCACTAAAGTGCACTACTGCGTGTTCTATGCCACAGCTGGATTCTGTATTTCCACTCTCTCCATTACTCAAATTATGTCTGACTATTGGCAGGTTCCACTGGTTGCTTCCTGGGTACGGTGACCAAGTGTCTCAGTTTGCCCAGGAATGTTCCTGTTTTAGCACTGCAAGTCCCATGTCCTCTCAGTCACAGGCAAACCAGGATGGTCCTGGGAACTCTGGCTGTTTTGCAGCCTCTCCAACTGTAACTTCACCCCAGTAACTACTGCACGGGCCCTCGGGCTATTACCTCGCTTTATTATACTATTCCTTCTGGCTCTCCTCTAGTCTCTCTAGCTGGCCCCTCATCATTCAGGCTGCTACCCCACACCAGATATAAGTTTAATGCTCACTTGACCTCTCCCCTAGTTCCTCTGGTTACTTCCTGGGGCCTTTGGTGGACCCTCAGCCCTAAGCGTATTTTGACTGCTCCCTCTGGCTGACCCCAGCCTCAGTGACCGTTCCTTGCTCCAGGTGTTCCCCAGTACTCTAGGCCATTCCGCAGCTTCAGAGGCTCTTCTCTCATCTTTCCACCGGTTCCGTGGGCTCTGTCCCTTCCAGGATTCCTCTGCCCAGTCTACAGCCTCAGCAATTGTCTCTTGGTCCCTCTGGCTGCAATCCATTCTCTGGGTCGTATTTCCCGTTTCTTGTTCCCTGGTATCTGTCTTTCGCCTTCACCCTCAAGTTCTCTTCTAAACCAAGTAACTGCTTTCTGGTTCTTCGGGAATTTTCTTATCCCTCAGGCTCATACCCAGTTCCTCGGATATGTTTGCCTTTTCCATTTTATCTGATTCTTCTGCTTCCTCACCCCTCTGGATACTGACTGACTGCTCCATCTGGCTGCTATCTGGTTCCTCTATTTCCTGGTACCGCCTCCTATTTCATGATCCTTCTCACTGTTCTTTAACCCTCAGCTCTTCCCTGAGGAAGGCTCTTTCCTGAGAAGGATCACTACTTCTCCAGCCTCAGCAACTGTTTCTTGGTGCTGTTTCTCAGATGCTACCCAGCATCTGACTCATGTACTTTTTATTTTATTGTTCTTTCACCTGTACCCTGGACCCCTTGGTTATTCTCCATCTCCTGTAAGTGCACCACGGTCTCTGTTCCTTATTCCCTTGTGGCTCCCCTGAGCCCTCTTTCCTTATGGACCCCTCTGCATCTTCGCCATCTTCAGCCACTGTTTCTTGGTACAACTGGCTGCTCATCAACCGCTGGGGACATTTTTATTGGTTCCTTGGTATCTCTGCCTATACCCTACTCCCTGATGTTTAATGAAATATATATTTCCCCCAGGGTCTTGGTCATTTCCATCTCTTCTTGAGATGGGTCAGAGATCTGTGGTTGGGAAGGAAGAGATGAATGGAGAAATGCACCTTGCAGAGCTCAGAATCATTCCTCTAGAAATCCCCACTACTGGTTGGGCAAGAGGCCACCCGCAGGAGTGGGGAGGACCACACTGTCATGGCCCTAACCTGTGGGTCCGTGACTGATATGACCGAGCAGAGCTTAGACAAGGTGGAAGTGTACTACTGTCGAGCACTGATTCATTTATCCTTTAAAGCCCCATACCTTTGATTCAAAAATATAATTTCAATGACTTGGCAGAAATATTTATTTACTTACTTATTTTGAGATACGGTCTCTTTCTGTCACCCAGGCTGGAGTGCAGTGGTGTGATCTCGGCTCACTGTAGCCTCAAACTCCTGGGCTCAAGTGATCCTTCCACCTCAGCCTCCTGAGTAGGTGGGACTACAGGTGGACACCACCACACCCAGCTAATTTTTGTATTTTTGTTGCGATGGGGTCTTACTATGTCGCCCAGGCTGGTCTCAACCTCCTGAGCTCAAGTGATCTGCCCACCTTGGCCTCCCAAAGTGCTGGGATTACACACATGAGCCATCATGCTCGGCTGGCAGAAAGATTTAAAGGTAGGAATTTTATCATAGCAGTTTTAATCACAATAGAAAACCCGAAATAGGCCGGGTGCACCAACTGCGGTGGCTCCTGCCTGTAATCCCAGCACTTTGGGAGGCTAAGGCAGGCCTGAAGTTGGGAGTTTGAGACCAGCCTGACCAACATGGAAAAACCCCGTCTCTCCTAAAAATACAAAATTAGCCAGGCATGGTGGCACATATCTGCAATCCCAGCTACTTGGGAGGCCGAAGCAGGAGAATCGCTTGAACCCGGGAGGTGGAGGTTGCAGTGAGCTGAGATTGTGCCATTGCACTCCAGCCTGGGCAACAAGAGTAAAACTTTGTCTCATTTAAAAAAACAAAAAACAGGCCGGGTGCAGTGGCTCATGCCTGTAATCCTAGCACTTTGGGAGGCTGAGGCAGGTGGATTGCCTGAGCTCAGGAGTTCGAGTCCAGCCTGGGTAACATGGTCTCTACTAAAATACAAAAAAAATTAGCCGGGCATGGCAGCATGTGCCTGTAGTCTCAACTACTCAAGAGTATGAGGCAGGAGAATCGCTTGAACCTGGGAGGCAGAGGTTGCAGTGAGCCAAAATCATGCCACTGCACTCCAGCCTAGGCGACAGAGTAAGACTCTGTCTCCAAAAAAAAAAAAGAAAACCTGAAATACCCTAAATGCACATTATTAGTGGACTGGTTGTTGGGGGACAGGAAGACATTGGTCAAAGTATACAAAGTTTTTGTTAGAGGGAATAAGTTTTTGAGATCTATTGCAGTTTGGTGACTATAGTTAATAATGATGTAATGTTATTTCAAAATTGCAAAGAGAGTAGATTTTAAATGCTCACATCACCAAAGAAATGAGAAGTCTGTGAGGTAATGCATATGTTAACTAGGTTGCTTTAAATATTCTACAATGTGTACAAATATCAAAACACTACATTGTACCCCATAAATATATACATTTATTATTTGTCAATTAAAAATAAAATTTGCAGGGCATGATGGTAACTCATGCCTGTAATCCCAGCACTTTGGGAGGCCAAGGCAGGAAGATCACTTGGGCCCAGGAGTTTGAGATAAGCCGGGCATGGTGGCATGTGCCTGTAGTCCCAGCTACTTGGAAGGCTAAGGTGGGAGGATTACCTGAGCTCAGGAGGTTGAGGCTGCAGTGAACCGAGACTGCATCACTGCACTCTAGCCTGGGCAACAGAGGGAGACTGCCTCAGAGAAAAAACATTAAAATAAATACATAAAATTTCAAAAATAGTGAACTGACTAAATTGTGGACATCATAAGTGTATAAAGCAAACTATTTGCTGCCTAGCAAATTATGTTAAACTGCCCAGTTAAAAATGAGGTAACCAAATAGTATGATTCTGTTTTAAAACTTGAGCTATATATGTGTATGTCTACAGTATGGATGCACACTCAGGCCCCACACATATACTCACACATATGCACACACACACATACAAAGGAAAAAACAACTGAAAGGAAATACAGCTAAATGTTAACACTGGTTAACTTTGGGTAATGTTGGAATTACAAGTAATTTTTTAGTCTCTTCTATTTGTTAACCTATATGTTCTAATATTTTATTATGAAGTTAATAAAATGACAAAAAAATATTTAAAACTTTAATATTATCCTAATAACCGCATGACCCTGAGCCCCTGAGATGATGAACCCTTCCAGAGCCAACAGCATCCACAGGCAGGTCTGAAAGGAGGGAGCTGTCAGCCAGGGCCTGGCTCGCTCATCGTTCTCCCAGGCTTACAGAATTTCAATGGGAACTCTGATCTCAACAGGAACTCTGAACGGGAGACTTGATCTCAGCTGTGGTGCAGCGAGGGTGGAAGACACAGTCAGGAGAGCTGGCTCTAGTCTAGTGCTGTCACCACCAACCTGAGAGGCCTGGGCAAGTCACATGGCTTCTGGGGCCATTTTATTCATCTTTCTTTTTTTTTGAGACGGAGTTTCACTCTGTCACCCAGGCTGGAGTGCAGTGGCGTGATCTTGGCTCACTGCAACCTCCACCTCCTGAGTTCAAGCAATTCTCCTTCCTCAGCCTCCCGAGTAGCTGGCACTACAGGCATGCACCACCATGCTGGGCTAACTTTTTGTATTTTTAGTAGAGACGGGGTTTTGCCATGTTAATCAGGCTAGTCTTGAACTCCTGACCTCAAGCAATCCACCTGACTCAGCCACCCAAAGTGCTGGAATTACAGGTGTAAGCCACCGTGCCAGCCATTTTATTCATCTTTGAAAGGAGGAGGGAGAGGTAGAGACTGTAGTGGCCCTACTACCCTGCCATCTCTAAGTTCCAAAGAAAAAGGATTTTTCTCTACTTAAATCAGGATGGAGGAGAACTTGCCAGATCCCCAGAGACCTGGGGGAAGGGGCTCTGGTGGGAATAAGCTGATGTCTGTAAAGAGCCAATGGAGAGGGAAGGGTTGGTGCTGGGGTGGGGGATGGAATCTCACTGGCAATGGATGGGTGGCCACTTCCACCTGGACCTCGCCCTCAAATACCCTATAGGGAGCTGTCCCCACTCCCTAGGCTGTGGGGTTCACCTTCCACAACCTACCTCTCCTCCAGTGTAATCAGCCACATTACACTGGCCACTGAAACATGCAGGGCTCTAGATGTGGCCACATCAGCCAAGAGGTGCTCACTCTCAGAGGGAGGACCCTATCTGTCTCCAGCGCAGCAGGTCTGGCATCTGCCGCTTCCTCTGATTCCCCTGCTCCTGCCCTTAGGCCCTTTTGACAGGTCAGGGTATGTCCTCACTGAATGAATTCTTGCCTCCGGGGGTCCTCCCCCTCCTCACCTCATATGAGCTTCCACGTCCCTCTGTAGCCAGGGCCAGGGACCATGGGGAAGAGTCCCTATTAGCTGCCATGTTCACGCTGGGCCTCAGTCTTCAGGCTCTCCTGCTGACAACCCAACTCTTCCCCAAGCTGGAAGCCAAGCTGGCATCTGTGGACTCAACCGGAGCTGCTGGGGTGAGGCGAGCAGGGGTCAGAAGGAATATACTGCAGTTTCCACTGAGGAGCCTCCAGACTCTGCAGAGGTTCCAAGAAACCCTGGAAAGACAGTGTCCACATGGTCATCACTACACGTTCACCCACAAATGGTTTCTGGGGGTACCCAGGGGGCCATTCACTGTGCTGGATGCTGTGGAAGAGAAAAGTTCAGTAAAACCCACACCAAGTATTAAAGCAAAACATGTGGAAAATTCACAAGATCTGGTATAAAATCAATGAGGGTTTGTATTCAAGCTCTTCTATGTTCTAGCTAGAATCTGGGGAAGTCACTTTACGTGAAGTTTCTTCATCTTAAAAAGGATGAAAATACCTAAGTCATAGGGTTGTTAGAATTAAATGAAATGATGCTTCTACACACACCTACCTGGTACCCGGAACATGCTCAACTCATTAAATAGTGCTATTATTACAAGGTGCAAGGCATGTTTTATTAGGTACCTCATTTAATTTTCACACTCATCTGTGAACTAGGCATTACTGCTATTACTAATACCCTTTGCCATCAGATAGAGCTGGTCAGAAATATTAAGAAATTTGCCCCAAGATCACTCAGATTAGGGGGAAGAGCAGGGATTCAAACCCACGTATGCCTGGCTCCTAAATACACTTTCTTAACTACTGGGCCATCTGGTACTCTATACATGGCAGAATCACAATGAACACTATGGTTCCTGCTATCTTCAAAGTGCCCTTGCTGAGGGGTGACCATGTCACTTGAGCATAAACTGAGCTTCTGTGTAATTCAGTGTACATTCTGTGCAAAGGAAAGAGCCCACCCTCTTCTGTCAAAGATGAAAACTTAAACTTGTCCCATCTCCTCTGCAATTCCCATCAGGCCCCGAAAACCAACAGGTCTGCAGAGGCTCCTAAATCCCTATAAATCCCTGTAGCCCACACTGCTTGACAAAAACTGTGTCCCAAATGGTGCCATCAATGGGTTTCCACAGGCTCCTCAAATTATCACCAACCCAGGCAGCACACTGTCAATAGATCAATGACTCCCATAAAACCTTCAGTAACAGAAGTTCCAGTCCATCACACAGCAACTCATATAGTACTGCAATAACCAATGTCCACAGGTCCCAATCCAGGACTGCTACAGGCCCCCCCAAAACTGACCTGTAATTCCTTGTGAATCCTAGAGTTGCAATCACTCACCACTTTAGCACCCCAATCAATAAACTCTCATGGGCTGAATCGATGACCTCAGATACCTACATTTCCAGCACTTCCAGGAAGAACCAACATGTTATTTACAAGAATAAAAGATCACAATGGCACTAATTTATTTGCAGCAACAGAAGCCATATTAGAAGAAAACTCTAAAAATTACTGACAGAGAAGGGTTCAGATCCAAGAATTCTAAACCCACCCTAGCTAGATACCATTCTTTTGTCAGAACAAAAGAAAGACAACTTTAGACATAAAAGCATTTCTAGCATTTTATGCCAATATTCCAATCTCAGGAGAACACTCAAGGGAACAGTCTAAACAATGGTAAACGGAACAGACACAGAAACCTCAAAATAGGAGGAAAGCAGTTTTGAGATAGGATTCTTGCAATTGACATATAATTATATCTGCATAAAGAAAAACAATGTAATTGGGCATTTGTACTAAATAAGGCTGTTAGTATTACTATGTGGAAATTTAAAAATTTGCTGGCCAGGCACAGTGGCTCAAGTCTATAATTCCAGCACTTTGGGAGGCTGAGGTGGGTGGATCACGAGGTCAGGAGATTGAAACCATCCTGACTAATATAGTGAAACTCCGTCTCTACTAAAAATACAAAAAAATAGCTGGGCGTGGTGTCACGCACCTGTAGTCCCAGCTACTCAGGAGGCTGAGGCAGGAAAATCGCTTGAACCTGGGAGGCGGAGGTTGCAGTGAGCCAAGATTGCGCCACTGCACTCCAGCCTGGGAGACAGAGTGAGACTCCATCTCAAACAAACAAACAAACAAACAAAAATTCCCTGAGAAAATTTACTGAGTGAAATGAGAAGGCAAATTATAAATCTCCATGGGTAGATATTGGTACAATATTATTTGGATTTAATAATACAGAAAATATAAACAATCATATTTGTCAGGAAGGTAAAGGCAACTACTAGCAGAAATTGATTAAAAAATAATCGAAATTCCAAACAATCAAAATTAAAAAATAATAAAAACCTAAAAGGGGATTAAGAGAAACATGGCTGGCTGGGCACAGTGGCTCACACCTGTAATCCCAGCACTTTGGGAGACCGACGCAGGTGGATCACCTGAGGTCAGGAGTTTGACAGCAGCCTGGCCAACGTGGTGAAACCCTATCTCTACTAAAAATATAAAAATTAGCCAGGCATGGTGGTAGATGCCTGTAATCCCAGCTACTCAGGAGGCTAATGCATGATAATCGCTTGAACCTGGGAGGCGGTTGCAGTGAGCTGAGATCTCGCCACTGCACTCCAGCCTGGGGGGACAGAGTGAGACACTGTCTCAAAAAAAAAAAAAAGAAAGAAAATTAAAGAAAAGAAACATGACTATGCAACCAAAAACAGGAAAAGTGAAAGAAAAGAAATATTAATCAACTAAAATAAATAGCAGACAAAAAATATAGGAGAAAATAATAGGAGGCATAAAATCAAGTATGTTATAATGCAAAGAAATTGAAATGAGTTGAATTCTGCTATAAATGACAAAAATTATGGGACTGGGCTAAAAAACAAAATACAGTTGCCACACATCTACAACAAAATGATGAAGATGTGAAATGAAGCACCTGATAGAAACACACCATATCATTGATCGATCATTCTTTCCTTTATGGTTGGCATACATTATGTCTTGTTAGGAAACCTTCGCCTACCTCAGGGTCATGTAAAAGTTTTACTGTTTTAGCTTTCACATTTAGAAACACAGCCCACCTGGGAAGGATTTTAGCATGTAATATGTGTTGGAGTCAAGATCCATTTCTTTCATATGGAAGCAAGATGATCCAGCACCATTTATTGAAAAGCCTACCCATGGCTGGGACCAGCGGCTCACATCGGTAATCCCAGCACTTTGGGAGACCAAGGTGGGCAGATCACCTGAGTTTAGGAGTTCAAGATCAGCCTGGCTAACATGACAAAACCCTGTCTCTACTAAAAATACAAAAATTAGCCAGGTGTTGTGGCAGTCGCCTGTAATCCCAGCTACTCAGGAGGCTGAGGCAGGAGAATTGCTTGAACCCAGGATGTGGAGGTTGCAGTGAGCTGAGATCTTGCCACTGTACTCCAGCCTGGGAGGATAGAGTGAGACTTTGTCTCCAAAAGAAAAAAAGAAGACTACCCTTTCTCTACTGCTCTGTAGTGTCTCCTTGTGACCATATATGTGGGGGTCCATTCCTGAACTCTGTATTTCCATTGGTTTATTTGTCTATTCTTGGACCAGTGTTATAGTCTTAATTAAATGTGCTTCATATTAAGTCCTGATATCTGGTAAAGGATACCTAAATTGGACTATATTAAAATTAAGGACTTGTGTTTATCAGAAGATAAAATTAAAAATACAAAGGCAAATCCTAGTGGGAGAAGGTAACTGTAATACCTATATTTGACAAATGATTAATATCTCAAATATATCAAGAATGTCTAGAAATCAATAACAGCCATAGAAAAAGAGCAAAAGGAACAGGCATTTCACAAAGAAATATCCAAATAATAAATAAGCTTATAAAAAGATGCTCAACTTCACCAGTTGGCAAGGAAATAGAAGTTAAACTACAATAACATAATCCTCAACATAATCCTCCATATCTACAATAAGATAATCCCACCCGAAATGGCCAAATGAAAAAGATAGAAAATAAACAAGAGTGGGCAAGGATGTGAAGCAGCCAAAACTCGTAGATTGCTTGTTAGGAGCATAAGCTAGTACATACACTTTGGGAAACTGTTTGGTAGTACCCATTAATGGTGAATACATGCATATTCTATGACCCTGCTATTTGACTCCAGTTCTCTCTCACTCAAGATAAATACAAATATATGTTTGCTAAAAGATATGATAGAGGCCAGGCATGGTGGCTCACATGTGTAATCCCAGCACTTAGGGAGGACAAGATGGGTGGAGTGGTCAAGAGTTTGAGACCAGCCTAGCCAACATAGTGAAACCCCATCTCTACTAAAAATACAAAAATTAGCCAGGCATGATGGCATGTACTGTAGTCCCAGCTACTTGGGAGGCTGAGGCAGGAGAATCCCTTGAACCCAGGAGTAAGAGGTTATGGTGAGCCGAGATCATGCCACTGCACTCCAGCCTTGGCAACAGAGTGAGACTCCTCAAAAAAAAAAAAAAAAAAAAAAAAAAAAGATAGGATAATGTTCACGGTAGCTTTATTCAAAACTAAAAATTATGTAAATGCTCATCAACATCAGAATGGATAGACAAGTTGTGCTTGCTAGGGTCACAGCAAGGCAAGCGCATAGACCCCCTCCCTGTTCTCCCCTGCTAAGCCAAGCTCCTAACGAAAACAGCCTCAAGCCTTATAAATAGGGCACCTAGGTTCCAGGATGTGGTTGCACCTGGCTCTTGAAACCAGGATGCTGACCCAATTAAGGAGAATGTCAGCCCCTGAGAACCAAGATGTGGTTTTTCTTAGAATAGTACCCGGCTACCTGCAAACTCCCTATATATCCCTCATAGTCTGTAAGTCAGGCTGCTGTCTTCACTGCCTGTGGTGAGGCAGCCAGCCTGGCAGGTTAAAATAAACTTGCTAAACCTGACCCGGCATCTGCCTCTCCATCTTTTCGGTCAACCTCACATTTTGGTGCTGAAACCTGAGATGGGAGTAGATGCTTGCTGCCCTTTCTCTTTCCCTTTCCCTGCCTCTGCAGCTAGCTTCCCCCGTCCAGACCCAGGAGGGAAACCCCAGACCTCCATTGCCAACTGTGGTTATCTCCATCCAAATCAGCACCTCCTGGCTAGTAAGTTGGATAGAGGTTTGCCTCCGTCTGGGTTCCTCAACCATCTGTTTTCTGTCTGAAAGTCCCAGTGCTAGGCTGAGGACACCCTTT